TAACACTAATTTTGTTTAGTTTATTGTAAATATATTTCGTCATATTGTATATACTCATTGGGGATTTTTTTTAAATTGTTATTTTATGACCCCCCCCCCCTGGACAATATATGTACATAAGGGGACTAGTTAGGACTTCATAGAGAATCTGAGGTATTATGGTGGACGTAGTAAGAAAGGTAGGAGTGAATGTGTTGTTTTGGTGATTGGATTATTGTTGGCATGTCTGGGTCAGTGTCTGCGACTAGCTAAGTTTAGATTTAAGACAGATGAAGACCGTCATTCCCCATCCCCCTTTTTTGGCCTTGTGCCGCATTTTGTATTTTAAATGCAAATAAATATAGGAATCAAGAGATTAAACCAGAGACTCTGCCCGACTGCGACTCAGTCAATACATTCTCCAGGAACGGTCTTACCAGGAATATACAAAAGACTATATGTAAATATTGTGTACACTTTCTTGTTTCAATACATTTTGTTCTAAGTACATTTTGTGTTGCATTATTCCATGCATTAGTCAAGTTTCAACATATATATATTAGTGCATTATATATATATATATATATATATATATAAAATAAGTGTATTAGTCTATATATATATTTATATATATAAAAAATAATGTATTAGTCTATATATATATATATATATATATATATATATTTATATATATAAAATAAGTGTATTATATATATATATATATATATATATATATATATATATATATATTAGTGATGGGACGATTAATCGGAATCGGGAAATCGGAAAAATCGCAAAGGCAAAGGTTAGGAATCCCGTTCACAGATTTCGTATTGACTCTCAGATCATAATTATTTTATTGGTAAATTATGGTAAATGAAGTAAATATTCTAGAGTTCACTTAGCCTATTTCCTCAGCAAACCTTTTGAATTTCTGTTCACACCTATTTGTCTCTCAGAGACTTCACAATGAGTATCAAAAGATTGAAAACGCACCAGTCTGACCCTGTCTTTGTCTGATAACCTCTGAAATAATTAATGTTTCATTGGGGTTTTTTGTTGTTTTTTTTTTCGGTTTCATCAAGTGGACCTATAATTGTTTTTTCCCAAGTTTTTCAGTGTGTTTAGACGTAATCGCCTAAAACATAAAATATCATGGGAGGTGTGGGGGGGCTTTAGCTGAATATTCTTTTTAATTTGACAAACTTTCATCTTTTTTTCCATTATGTATTGTATCCAAGATTTTAATAAACTCATTGTGAGATATTCATCTATTTTTTTCCTTTTGCCATTTTTTCTTATTTATCCATTTTTGCCATTTTTACCTATTTATCCACTTTTGCCATTTTTACCGTTGCCATTTTTACCCTGCCATTTTTTCCATTGCCATTTTTACCGCTGCCATTTTTACCTAAATTCATTATCCCATATTATATATATGAACTCACAAATTCTTATATTTATACATATATACATACACAGATTACCCGCCATACCATATCTATGGAACGACATACATGTACTCATCTATATATACACACCCACACTCACACATACATATATAGGATTTATAAAAAATTGTACACATGTACCCACATGCCCACACACATAAATATATACACCCATATATACATATAACTACATATATTTAAAAAAACAACAAAAACAGATCACCTATATACATACAAGTATATATACATACATATCCATACCCAACCACTCCAAAAATGTGCCCACAATACACAAAAATAACATATGAATGCCTATCTTTCCATATAAACGCATATACATATACATATCAAAAGACGTATCAATGTTCAAGTTCAATTATATAGTTATATACATACAGTTATGTGTTCGCATTTATGTACATTTCCAAAAATAAAAAAACCAAGATCATGTAATATTAGTCTTCCTATATAGTTATTCCTAAATCTATTTAGTTAGATTTAGGTTGTTCTTATGTCGGCATTTAAAAATTAGTTCATTATGTCTGTTTAGTAATAAATCCAGATCTTTATGTTTTATTATGAGGATCGCATCTGTCTCTGAAATTTATTGGAGTTCTGACTCTCGAGATTATTTTCCACTTTATATGTGGGGTTAAGCCACCATCCAACAAATCCCAATAATGCTTTGACAGTGTCGTTTGGTTCTTTTTACATTTATCTTTGAAGGACTGGCAATGGTTATAAAGTCGATGTTTCCAACTTCCCGCCAATATTCCTAGGTATATATCCTTTTCTGCTCAAAATTCTCTTTGGGAAAATATATATATATATATATATATATATATATATGATCAATCTAGTTCAGATATACAAAGTGATTGAAAACTATCTACCTATTTTAATTTATTAACTATAATTTTTACAAGAATTGGATATGAGAGGAAAGCATTGAGCATGTGGTTTTATTTAAAATTCAATATATGCACAAGATTTCACTACCAGCTTCTCGAACCGACCAGGAATCACATCAGTTGATTTCACTAGGATCACGTGTGCTATGGAAAACATTTCTTGTATTCACCTTTCAAGTTTTTTCAAAGTCTTGGTTGCCCTTTAACCCACCCCGAAAGATAAAAGTCACAGGGTTTTAAGTCAGGTCACCTGGCCGACCCATAAAATAGAGAGTTACATTTCAATCACCCTGTAGGTAAAATATGGATTGGAATCGAACAGAATAATAAAATAAGGAACAAACAGGAGAGGTTAATAAATCTAAAAGGTTTCACTTTTAACAAAGCTTCATCAAAGAATTAAATATGGAGGAGAAAATTCTGCTATTTTTATTTTTTGTGTTTTTTGTTTTTCATTGATTGAGCAGACATCACACACATCTGTCTTGTCATGCAGCGTTTGTATGTATAATTTACATGTGTACGTGTATCATAATTCTTGTTTGTCTATGCGGGATGATAATGTATATTCGTTTGTGTGTGTGTGCATGCACGCGCGTGTTTAGTAAGCATTTTTATCCATATTTGGTAGTTGTCCGCATGCTGATTTGGGGATGTTTTGTGTGAGGGTGAAAGAATTTAAGTTACACTGGTTGTGGTAGCAGGTAGACATATCCTAGATTCTTTAAATATGGATTTTATAAAACTTATATAATAAAGTGTCTTTGACATGTGTTTATAATAGGTAGAATTTTATCAGAACTCCCTCTCAGTATTTCCTATGTAAAGAATTATGTGATTTTCTAATGATTGGGTGGGGGGGCATTTATAAAATCGAAGTTATGGCCTGTTTTGTTTCTGTGTATTATGAGCGAGTTTAAAGGATTGCCCCAACGTAGCTCACTCTTATGTTTGTAGATGTGGGCTTTTAGATTTCAAGATGCTTCACCAACGTAAATCTCTTCCTACTATGCAGGTATTTTATATCATAAATCTAGGCATCTGATGTAGTTTTCGATCTAGTTTTCCTAACTACATCTCTGATTGTCTTGGAGGTGCTGGTAAACTAATTTATTTTCAAATTTTGTCGATAGGATAGGATTATAAATTTTCTGTTTTTGTTTCCGGAAATGGCTATGTTGTCTGTGGTGATGCCTACTTATTCTGAATCATAAAAAGAAAATGCAATAAAACAATATGATATTATTTAATTAGAAATTATGAATATTAATTATATCATATATAATATTCTCTTATAAACTTTTTGGAGGAATAATGAATTTTTAGAAGAATTCTATTCATATAATTTTAATTATAATAATTTATAAATTTTTAAATCTTTTAAAATTTTATATTAATTCGGGTCGTTTTATGTGAAATTGTTATTAAGTAAAAACTATATTCACTATATTGAAAAGCTTACCACAGTTAAGCGACCCCCCAGTAATTTTTGTGTGTATAAACGTGCCAAATTTTATAAATATGGACGTCTAGACACGATATTATTAGAAAATAAGAGCTGTAACTATAGTAAATTTAAAACCAAAGAACCTAAAATTCAATAAAAGCTTATATTACGGAAGATAGTTTCCTAAATTTTAAAGATTACTGGATAGTTAAAAAATAATATAAAAAGACGCTCAATTTAAGAATTTTTTGCAGATATGTCCCACGGGAGAAAAAATTAGTTAAATTTCTAGTTATCAGTAAAGCTGTCAGACTGTCAATAAATTTCAACACAAAAGCATAAAACATCTACCTCCGTGTTAAAAATGCTTTTCTACGATATTGTAAACTAAAAGTAAGTAATATTTATTTCAAATCAAATTAATTAAACTTAAATCAGCTAATATTCTTCTTTTAATAAAGTATCAGAAAAGTATATTTTATTTTTGAAGAATTTTTCATCGTATTACATTATTAAGTGCTGGCAGAAGGCTAAAAATGGCTAAAATCAGCGAATTTTAGCGATTAAAAAAAAAAGAACTACTTTTAATCAATTTAAACTAGTTTAATATATATATATATATATATATATATATATATATATTCATTTATCTCTCTCTCATTATCTCTATTTTTCTCTCTCTCCCTTTCCTTTCGTCATTTTTAAATGTGTGCCTAAATATTGTAAAATATCTTTTTCTTTGAAATTGTAAAACCTCGAGCCATTTACTACTTCCTTTAACGTTTAATATTTCCCACTGTTCCCTCCACCCAATTTCCAATAAACGTTCACAAGATTTTAAATGAAATAAAGATAAAATGTGGAACTGTCTTTTTATGATGTCATGTGTGTGGCCAGCAAAAAGATTTGTAAAAAGGTGACTGGCGTGAGCTTAATTCGACGAATTTGGAAGGCAACGTATGATACGAGTTTCTGAAGTAACTCCAGACTTACGACAGATCATCAATTCAACCCCCAAAGGACAGAAAAAAATTTCATAGAATTACAATAAAAAAAATCGTAAACATAGATTGAATAACAGTTCAAAATTCAGAAGCGATAGTTAGTGACAAATCTTTGTCATTAACTATATAATTTGGTTCATTCAACAAATAACAACTGAAAGGAAAAACAGTACGAAAGAAAAACTGAATATGAAGCTCAATGAATTACCTTTCCAGGTTCGGCTATTTTAGGCAAAATACTTTCTCCGTCTTGTTTGAATCCAGAATTGAGTGGTACAAATACAGTGATGTTTTCTTGACTCAACTCCTTTTCCAGTCCCATTGCTCTGGCAGCTGAAAGAAATTCTGTCAGTCCCTCCTTCTGAAGAAGTTCCACGAGATTGACGAGTTCAATTGCTAAAAATATAAAAGCATTTTTTGTAGTGAAAGAGATAATCAGCTACTTCGAAAAAGAGTGCGTGTTTTGTGTACGATCTGCCGAAGAAAAATTACCAAAAATTAGTTAGCAAAAATCTACTTTAAGGACTAGAATCTATGCTAATGTTTTTCCCTCTCCTGAATGGCGTGACCAATCAAAAAGACCGCTCAATGAACAAAAGCCGTTGTTTTCGCTTATGCGCATTAGATTTTCTGAGCTTGGTGGACGAACACGCGTTTTTGCTGGTGAGAAGTGAAGGTTGGATGTGATTTTGTCGTTTCTACGTTGCTTGTTACGACGGATACCATTGTTTGAACTGTGATTTGACTACAAGTGTTGCGGTCGACAGACAGAAGAAATCTATTGCAGACGTTTGTTGCTACTATAAGTTGACAGTTTTTTTTCTTCTTTTTCTTTTCTTTACAACTACAAACTATTTCGGCACTTACTTTGTCTCTAGCAAGATGGCGGAAAGACCGTTCGACATAAAACTAATTTCCGAATTCAATGGTGATACGAGTGGACAGTCTGTGGTTGAATGGATCGAAAATGTGGAACTGGTTTGCGAATTATGAGAGATCACGGAGACTGAACGGATTCTTCCACTGCGCTTGTAAGGCGGCGCCCTTGCTGTGTATAGGCAGTTGAGCAAAGAACAGAAAAGTGACATTGGGCAAATAAAGGGCGCTCTATTAACCGTGTTTGGAACTGACCGGTTCGTGGCCTATGACCAATTCCAGGCGCGGCCTGGCGAGATAGTAGACGTATATTTGTTAGAATTAAAGAAGCTCGCCGATCGTACCGCTTCCTGAAGAATGGATGACCTGTGTCTTCGTGTCTGGATTGCCTAGTCGAAAAAGAGGCTGATGAACCAGTGGCCGCAGTCGTTCAACCAATTGAAGTCAAAGAGGATCCGACCCCAGTCATCCGTCGCCATGGCGATGCTCTGGGCTATCAATGCCATAAAGTAGGTCAAATTGCCTCTAAGTGTCCGGAAAATGGAATGGGCGACGCGACATCAGCGCCGGTCTCTTCCCCGCACCGAGCATGAAAGAGGCGTTCCCTGTAATTAAGGTGCGCATCAATGGAATAACGCGTACCGCTTTAGTAGATTCGCGTTGCTCTCGGTCACTCACGAACGGTTCGATTAGTCGACAGTGGAGCAGACAAAAGATGGACGTACTAACGGCCGATGGAAAGGCTCTCAGAAGCCGGGGAGTTGGAAACATCAAACTCAGTATCAACAATGGTGACCCCGTCACAGTCAGTGTGTTGGTCGTGGACAGAGCGTTATTAGGTTTTGACCTGCTCCTTAGGATGGACATTATTAAGGAGATGGGCGGCGTACGCATCACAGAGGCGGGCGAAGTCAAGTTTTCTGGTCCGCCCATCTGTGCTGCTTTGAGGATCAACGGGCTCGACTTTAGTGCAGAGTTCGACCAAAGGACGAAGACATGGACAGCATTTTGGAAATGGTCGGAAAATAACCCACCAGAAAAGCTCCAGAACCGAATGTCAGAGTACTCTGTGCCCGAACGCGTCAAGGAAGAATACCAGCGTGAATTGCAGATGTGGCTGGACAATGGATGGTTGACTCTGTATCTCGAGGAAGAGCTTGGTCCTCCAAGAGGCCTCATCCCGTTGATGGCCGTGGTACATAAGAACAAAGGAAAGGTGCGCCCTGTACTAGATTATAGAGAACTGAACGAACATTTAGACACGTACACGGCTTATGCTGATGGGTGTTCACAAAAATTGAGAGAATGGAGAAGAAAGGGGTCCAATGTCTCTGTGATTGACCTTCGAAAGGTCTACCTGCAGGTACGCGTGCACCGGTCACTGTGGTCATTTCAGACGGTGATCCTTAATGGGAGGAGATACTGACTAACACAAATGGGGTTCGGGCTCAATGTGGTGCCGGCCATCATGAAAGCTATCGTGGATGCTGTGCTATCCAAGGATGAGACAATTCGCCAAGCTCTACCACTCGTCCCTTCAGCCCCTCAACCTCCAGCGTCTTCCTCTTTGGGTTGAGGCGCCCACTCGGCCTTAACCGAACCCAGGGGTAGCTGGCCGCACGCTCCCTGAATACCCGTAGATTGTTCGACCGGTCACTGGCCAAGTTCCACCTGCTGCCCACGTTGTGTTAGTTTTTAGATCCAGTAAGCGGGGTGTTGTCCATACGTTCACGGTCGATTGGGGATGTAAGCACGGCTGTGAGTGTGAGCGGCAGGAAAATTAGAATGTGGCAAACAAGGAAATAATATCTGCAGAAGCCGAACAACAATGGGTAAAATATTGATGTCTTTTATATAAGAAAACAACAACAGTAGAAAGAGTTTACAGAAAGGATAGAAAAGCAATTAACATAAGAACAGAGGAGCACTCCTCTACCAATTATAGCAACAGAGAGAGGTGTGTGTGTGATTAACTCGTTCCAAATCAACTTGGGAGGATATGTGACTTGTAATTCCAGGCCTAATTGGAAGTGTAGCTTTTCAGTTGGTTGTCGCAAGTGACAAATGTTAAGTTTCAGCGACTTTTCAATGCGACCGCTACAACGACGATGATATTTATTGAAGTCCTTATCTCTGACTCGCCACTGGACTGACTCACTGCAACAACAGTCTCTCTCTCTCTCTCTCTCTCTCTCTCTCTCTCAACGTCACTCTCGTCTAACGCCCAAGTCTCTGCAACTCAGCAAAACTCGCGTTTATATAGCAAACCGAAGGTTATAAGCCAGGCTATTCAAGCGCTTAACACGAGTGTCGCCATAAGCAAAGTTTAAATTCAGATCTATTTCAAATCTCTTAGTGGATAAAATTAATTAGTTCAATGTTCATTTCAATTGTCTTTTCGATGACCAAATTCAGCGGATACAACTTATGTTTAGATCATATTTCGCTAGCGGTAAACATACACTGACCTTACCTCCCCGGTCCAATTTACTTCAATATGTTTTTATCAAAAATATCATTTTCGACTATTTTTTTTAATGACCCAAATTAAACATCGCCTCTTGTACTTTTGCATTTGTTTATAAACATTTCCTCGCCAATTTGAAATTTATTCTTTATCCATCAGCCGTCTCAGGTTTCATATATCATTGTTCTAGATTCTTTCCTATTAATAGCGCTGACACAGTTTGTAACTTTCACGGAAGATCGTGTTTTCCATTTTCAATCAATAAACGTTATATTTGCGTGTGTGCATTCATGTGCGTCAACCTCTCTCTGTTACAAAGTGACGTCATCTTATATTGACGACATCTACATCAACGAAACCTTAGCGCTCGCTGCGCAGGTGATATTGCTGACTTTGGGCTCGAGTGTAAGAACCCAGAACGACTGGAGGACAGTGCTCGTGTGTTCGGCTTGCAGGTCTGGGTGGAGCACAACGTGCTTTACTGGAAACGTGGAAGCGAGCTCCCAGACATTCCCAGACACATGACACGACGCAGCGTGTTCTCGTTATGTGGCAAGCTGGTACGACATTTTCCTGTGGGCGGTTGGATCCGCATTGCAACTGCATTTATCAAACGTAGGGTGATTGCTGTCACTTTCGGCTGGGATTACAAAACAGATGATGCTCCCCTTAGAGACAGCGGAAGTCATTACCAGGGTGCGTCAAGACGACCCCGTACGTGGTAAATGGTGCGTTGACGGATGTCAATTTGACGTCTGGGTCGACGCGAGCTCCCTTGCAACAGGAGTGTCTCTTGAAATAGATGGAACTGTCGTGAAAGACGCGTGTTGGTTGCGTCCCGAGAAGGATACGCAACATATCAAGCTGTCGGAATTGGACGCCGTTATCAAAGGAGTAACAGTGGCCCTTTAATGGAATGCAGAGTTGTTGCATTTGTTCACGGATTCCGCATGCGTGCATAAGTGGATAGCAGATACTCTTACGGGTAAGGCCAGGAAACGTACAAAGGCTGCGAGCGAAATGCTCAGTCGAAGGCGGCTAGACACACTGGGAAAGTTGGTAAGTGAGTACAACTTATCAATGGATATACAGCTGGTTAGATCAAATCGGAATAAGGTAGATAATTTAACAAGGGCACCCCAGAGATGGCTTGACGCTGTTAAGAAAGAGGTAGAGCCGGTAGGACATGTCTGTGCAACATCAGCGAGCAACCGTAACTCAGATTTACTAAAATCTGTGCATTGCCAAAGTGGACATCCCGGTGTTAAATGGACCCTATATTTCGTGAGGCAGATTGATCCCTCCGTATCCAAAGCTGCTGTCAGGACAGTTGTCAGAGAATGCGAGGAGTGTCAGTCCATCGAACCAGCACCTGTGCAATGGTCAAAAGATCAACTGAATGTGAGCAAAGTGTGGCACCGTGTTGGAATGGACATCACCCATCATAATGAAACTCACTATCTAACCCTGATTGACTGTGGCCCAACCCGGTTCACTATTTGGCGACGTCTGCGTCGACAGGATTCTGCAAGCATGATTGACCACTTGCGGGCGTTGTTCTTTGAACGTGGACCTCCGTCGGAACTCCTCACTGACAACGACACTGTATTCCGCAGTGGACTATTTAAAGATTTTTTGGATTGGTGGGGAGTCCACCTCAGATTTCGCTGCGCATATGTCCCATAAGGAAATTGCATAATCGAGTGATGCCATCGGAGCGTCATAATGGAAGCGGTGTATTGGCACATTACCCCTAAAGACAATATATCACCCTCAACTACGCCAGCCAACATGATTTACCAGTACAGAATCCGACTAAGAGGCATTGACGCGACGCGTTCAACTGATAAAAGAACGAGCGCTGTATGAACTGGGCGATCACGTGTGGGTAAAAGCCCCACATAGCCGGTGTACAACTCGGTATTCACTGGAATCACTGTGCTGGTTGATGGAATGCCAAGACACGTAAAAGTAGGTGCCTTAATGAGATCGCTAAAAATAGCATAAATCTAAATGTTTATGTTATTATTAAGAGGAAACATCAAAGTATTTG